ATAAACATGCAGCACAAAAGTTCTTAAAAGAATCTTACAAATTAAACACACACTGAAACATGCACTTGTGAGATAAAAGCACAAAAGCAAAAATAAAATGGTTTGCACATTAAAAGCACATATAGATTAGTTAGTTACTAAAACTAGCACAAAGCAGCAGAAGCACTATAGTAAAGATAATAAAATAAAATTGCCATGCTGAAAATAAAGCATTAAACCAAAAATAATGAACAGAAATTAACTGGTTTTGCAGGCAAAACATTGGCATGAGCTGCCAGACCAAGAATTTATCAAGTTCTTGAATTGATATAAAGATGATTGCTTACGTAGCACATTTGGCAGCTCATTCCAAAGCTTAGCACCTGCATACCTTAAAGATTGTTGGCCGTATGCAGTTGTTCTTACATGTGGTAGGTCGGCTGTATTCTGATATCTGAAAGAGTAAGTGTTTTCCTTTAAGTGTATTAAATCATGGAGATAAACAGGACAATCTTTATTAATAATTTTGAAAACTTCAATAGCCAATGATTGCATTCTTCTTATTTTTAAAGATGGTAATTTTGATTTGCAGAGTAGATCTTCATAACTTGCTGAATAGTCTTCATAGATAAACCTTAGTGCTCTCTCTTGAATTTTCTTTATCTTTTTTGTATTAACCTCCCCACAAAAGTGCCAAACTAGTGGGCAGTAATTAAAGTTGGACATTATGAAAGAATAATATATTGTTAATTTTCCGAGTTTAGTCAGGTGTTTTCCTTTTCTTTTTAATACATTTAACTGTTTGGATGCTTTTTTACATATTATAGAGACATGTTCATTGAAATTTAGTTTAAAATCTATTGTAACGCCTAGAAGTTTAACGTTATCTTCATATTCTATTTCATTACCTTTTAATTTAAATTTTGGGTTTTTGTCTTTAGTTTTTTTACCTACAGCTATTGCTTGAAATTTTTCTGGATTTGCTTTCATTTTATTTATTGAGAACCAATTTATCAAAATTTTGCTTTCATCTTCTAGAGTATTAATTAATTTATCTAAATCTTTATCTGCGTATGAAAGGGTGTTGTTATCTGCATAATTATAGAGTTCACTTTTATGAATAAAAAAGAAAATGTCATTTAAAAAGATATTAAATAATGTTGGCCCTAATATCGACCCTTTTGGCACCCCTTTAAACATTGTTTGCCAGTAGCTTGAATTAGTACCTACTTTAACACACTGTTTTCTATTAGTTAAATAGCTTTCCAAAAGTTTAAGAGAAGAAGCGGAGACACCATAGGATTTTAATTTTAGTAGGAGGAGGTCATGGGGTAGGCAGTCAAAAGCCTTGGACAAGTCCATTAATATAGCTGCTACATATTTATTCTGATCTAAAGCCTTTTTCCAATCTTCAATTATTTTTAATAAAGCGGTTTGGCATCCGTATCCTTTTCGAAAAGCTGACAGAAAAATGTGGAAAAATGAATTAAAATATTCAACAAGTTGATTTTCTATAGACCTCTCAAAATTTTTTGAAATCATGGGCAATATACTTACAGGTCTATAGTTTCCTTTATCTAGAGTGTTTGATTTTTTATGCAGAGGTATTACTTGTGCAAAATTTCATTAGATAACGTGAAATCGCCTTCAACAATGAGAAAAACCTATGCCGTATAGTCGGCGTTAGGGGCCCCAACATGGAAAATATGAGACAATTTGTATACTTTATTTTACAGTCAAACCTGTTCTTCACATTTTCATATAATTATTCTATATTTACAAAATTGCCAAATTAAAGCAATCTTTAACCTTCAGTGCTCACAAGCACTTTGATTTACTTTTAGCCCTGGTGTGTTCCGACTTTTATGCAGATCTATAAACATTAAACATGTGACTTCTTTTTTGTTGTTAGGGATGAGGGATAGATAAATACCCTGCCACGTCCGGTCTGTGTTTTTGTTTGATGCTTTGTATCGATCTGATGAGTTAAGCCTTTTTCAACTGATTTTTCTGGTTTGTTCTTATGTTGTGCTGTTACACCACTGTCCCAGGTTAGGGGAGAGTTGAGCGCTCACAAACATGTTTGATTTAACCCCGCCACATTCTTTATGTGCCTGTTCCAAGTCAGGAGCCTGTAATTCAGTGGCTGTCGTTGGTTCATGTCTGTCATATTTGTTTTTTTGTAAATTGTTTTGTTATAAATTAGGCCGTTAGTTTTCTCAATTGAATTGTTTAATATTTTTCATGTCGGGTCTTTTATAGCCGACTATACGGTATGGGTTTTTCTCATTGTTGAAGGCCGTACGGTTGCCTATAAATGCTTACATCCACTTCATTTGAACTTTGGTGGATAGTTGTCTCATTGGCAAACATACCACATCTCCTTATTTTTATATTATTTATAGACAGTAGTGAGCTTATGGAGAAACATTACATTATAGTTGGTTCCCTATATTCTAACGGTAAAATATAGATTAATCGATCCCGGATACATAGATCCGAAAAAACGCACAAAAGGGTATAAATCGTCATTAAATAGGACAATACATAACCACTTATTGCGGATTTGTTTCTGTCTTGTTATAAGTTACAATTTATGACTTAAATCAGCAAAGACCCATCGAAACAACATCTGATACAAAAATTTAATAACACTTTTGAGATATTTGGATGATATATTGGCTCTCAATAATGACGACTTCAATATGTACACTAAAGAGATTTATCCTGCTGAACTGACTTTAAATAAAGCTTAAATAAACTAACAATGAACACTGCCCTTTCCTTGAATCTTGATATCTACATCTTTAACGGGAAGCTTAATACCAAAATTTATGATAAAAGAGATGATTTTTCATTTCCTATTGGTAATTATCCATTTAAGATGGTGACGTTCCCTCGTTTATATATCTCAACTTGTTCGATTCGCTCGTGTATGTAACAACGTATTTGATTTGAACGAAAGAGATCTCTGTATTATTGAAAAATTATTACATCAGGGTTTTTGATATCACAAACTAGTCAAAACATTAACTAAATTTTATCATCGGTACAAGGACATCATTTGTAAATATAAATCAACATGCAGACATCTTATACGTTCAGGTATTTCACATCTAATCTTTTATGGTAATATGTTTTACAAAGCACAAAAATGTCGGCATTCACCTCAAAAGCTTACCAAACCTTTACACAGACTTGTTCAGAAGGGATATAGTTACGATACTGTTGTCAGGTCATTGAAGATGGCATATTTTGGTATTAATATTGATTCACTCATAGGGTCTTTGCATCGGAAATAAACACATTTCTTCTAAAACCAGTTGTTAGCATGATACGGGTTATGTTCTTCTCATATATTTTATGATGGTATGATACTAAACCCCTAACGGGAGGGCTTGTGCTTGATTTTCATATGATGAAGACATAATCTTTCAATCAGTTTAACTGAAGTCTGGAGCTGGCATGTCAGTAACTGCTAGTAGTCCTTTGTTAATTTATGTATCATAGACATTTTGCTTAGTTTCTTCTGTTACCTATTCTGACTCGGACTCGGACTTTTTTTAAACTGAGTTTTACTGTGCGTAATGCTGTGTGTTTGTTTATTCTACATTGGCTAGAGGTATAGGGGGAGGGTTGAAATCTCACAAAACATGTTTAACCCCGCCGCATTTTTGCGCCTGTCCCAAGTCACGAGACTTTGGCCTTTGTTAGTCTTGTATGCTTTTTAATTTTAGTTCATTTGGAGTTTTGGAGTTTAGTGTGACGTCCATTTTCACTGAACTAGTTCACATTTTTATTTAGGGGCCAGCTGAAGCCCGCTTCCGGGTGCGGGATTTTCTTACTGTGTTGAAGACTCTTTGGTGACCTTCAGCTGTTTTGTGCTTTTTGGTCTGGTTGTTGTCTCTTTGACATATTCCCCATTTCCATTCTCAATTTTAATGTATAAGGAGTCGTCTGACGATTTCGGTGATGTTGACTTACTCGTATTTGTAGATCTTTTCTTGCTGATGATTTTTGCGGTTAAATAGTTTCTCTCTACTAATTATAGTTTTGAAGATAGTAGGCAAAAGTGAAAAAAAGGTAAAATTTGTCGTTTAAGGGCAACAATTCTTATGAGAAGTCGTCTAGCAGTTTTGATGTAAAAATACTACGGATATATCGCAACATTCATGTCAGATTTTTTCCATTTATAGCGGTTTTCAAGATAATAGACAACACTGACATTTTTACCCTATGTTCTATTTTTAGTCATGTCGACCATGTTGGTTGACACGCGGGTTATTGGACACATTTTTAAACTAGATAACCCAATGATAATTTTGGTAGTAGTTTCTGAGGAGAATATTTTTGTAAAAGTTAACGGACGATGGACGCCAAGTGATGACAAAAGCTCACTTGACCCTATGGGCCAGGTGAACTAAAAAGTGAAACTTATAGCAATAATGAAGGACAGAAATCACAAGTTATTATAGTAATGAAGATCAACGATCAACAAAATCGAAAGGGAAATAGATTGAATCGTATTCTGGCAACATTGATTTTAACTAGTTAAATTTTTCAGAGCGAAGGATTTCAAAACAACTGAGATAAACATGAAAAGAGAACACAGTTTGTGTAAATACATTGTCGAAGCTACCATTCCCTTTTCTTTGAATCGTTTATGACATCAACAAATTCCTCTGACCACTGGATTTTTACTTGTAAGAAGCAGTATACGGGCATCATTAGTGGAGCATGTTCTGTTGACCTTTTTGAAGCCATGTTTTCAGTTTCGGTGCGGTCTGTGTTTTCAATCTTTTGTTTTCTATGTAGTGTGTAGTTTTCTGTCCGTCTAAATTTTGTTAAATTTACACACGGCGTCCTTATTCGACGGTTTGATTGGTCCTTTGACATATTTTCTCTGTTTAAACATGGATCAGGATATTTTTTGTGTAACAATTGATGTAAAGTTTGTTTTTGTTTTTGTTTTGTTTTTTGGGGAGGGGGGGGGGGGGGGGGGGCAACAAATAAATAAAACGCTTTTAATACATCTTTTATACAATAATGTTGTTGAATATAAAAAAAAATGAACTACGTTTGTAATTGTAGAATATACAAAAAAAAATACAAATTTACAGGAAAGACCATTGTAAAAAATAATACTGTTTTATGGCACTGGTTTGCATATTGTAAAGTTTTATCAAACAATTTATCTTTCGGACACTCTTCTTTCCTTTTGACCAATTAAAAATGTATTGATAAATTCGTCGTCGTCTTCGTTGTCCAAGTCATCCTCTGCTGGTTGAGTTGCTCGTCCTCTTTGCTTGCGTTTCTACAAAGGAGAAAAAAGTATTGTACAACAAACTTAAAGATATATGCATTGTAAAAATAATGATTACAAATGTACATGGGGTTTCTATTATAAAAGCTTATTAAACGGTATGGGTTTTGCTCATTGTAAGGTCGTACAGTGACATATATTTGCTAACATCTATTTTATTTGTATTCGGAATGAATGTTACTAGTAGTACTATTTTTTTTAGAAATCATACTACCACATCTTTTCTTTTTTATATTGTACTTGACTTGTGTTTTTGTGATTACAATCTCGATATTCATATGCCTGGATGAAGCCAGAAACCTCGTTCGTAGTTGTCGTATGTTATATCTTAATTTTGCCGTTATTTGGAGTCGAATTTTACAGACAAGTATTAAATAGTTTCTGTAAAAATTATTCACAACTTTTAAAGACTTGTGGCGATGTTGTATAGACGCCAGTCTATTGTTGAAGATTCTATGTTGCTCCTTTAAATGTTTTTTTATGTTATTGTTGTTGTTGGTTTGTTGCCTCAATAATGTTTACATCAAATCTCCTTTTATTCATATTATAGAAAAAAAGTGCTTCATCTGAACTGAGGTGTTTATGTACCTATTTTTATTTCATCGAAGGAGACAATATCAAGAAAAAGAGAACGAGAGAAAAACAATATACATACATGATACAAGTATATAAAAGTAAATCTGTAAAACTTAAATAAATTACAGGTGACTTACTACCAGAAGTGTTAGTGCATATTATATCTAAATAATTATCTTATATTAAGACATATTTGCTGCCGTTAATAAAAAAATGGAATGTACATTTTGTTAGTTTTAAAATAAATAAGAAAGCAAAGAAAAGTAAATAAATCGTAAAGTAATAAACTTATTCTAAAATCTTACCATTTCAACACTATGATTAGATCTTTGAATATTGTTTTTATTGGTATTAATATTGATTTTGTTATCAGTAAATTAAAATCAAACACACATATGCACATTCATCGGCTCTACAATCTGTCGATGCTTGTATCTTGGCATTGCACAAGGTCATGTTTTTCTCGGACTGTTAATAATGTCTTTCACTAAATCCATTGGATGTTGGATGTGTAGTGATTGATATTTTAGTCATAGATGCATGATTTAATTTTTATTAATTGTTATTGGCTTTGCACTAGCTGTTAGTAACTGCGAGTACTCTCAGATCTGTACTTAATGTCTTTTTGTTGTTGGGATGTATAAGTACCCTGCCACGTCCACTCTGTGTTTTTGTTAGATGTATTTCTGCTTTGTATCAATCTGATGAGTTAAGCCCTTTTCAACTAATTTTTATAGTTTGGTCTTATTTTGTACTGTTACACCACTGTCCCAGGTTAGGGGGAGGATTGGCGCCTTCAAACTAGTTTAACCCGCCACATTCTGTATGTGCCTGTCCCAAGTCATGAGCCTGTAATTCAGTGGTTGTCGTTTGTTGCTGTATATCATATTTGTTTTTCGTTCACTATTTTGTACATGAATCAGGCCATTTTTTTTACCGTTTGAGTTGTTTTACATTTGTCATTTCGGGGCCTTATATAGCTGACTATGCGGCATGGGTTTCACTCATTGTTGAAGGCCGCGTACGGTGAACTATAGTTGCTAATTTCTGTGTCATTTGGTCTCTTGTGGAGAGTCGGTCTCATTGACAATCATATACCACATCTTCTTATTTTTATAATAAAGTACGTCAAATTCGAAAATGAAAAGTTGTTTTAATGAATAAGATAGTTGACCTACCAGGAGAGCGTTCTTCCGGGAGTTACGTTGGTGTTTCCAGTTGTCTCCGAATACCTTCATTGCATGCTCCTGAAAATAAACAAAAGACTGATATAAAATGGGCATATAGTTACTGGGTCGGTACTGCTGCTGGTGGACTATACGGTCTACGAGATTTCCATCCATCCGATATTCAGTATGTTACAGTGTAAGATTATATCAAGATATAATAAAGAATGTACATGTTGGCTTGCACACGTTATTACACGATCAGAGTTTCACAACACATAGTTGGTCCTGCTGCTGGTGGACTACCAATCCCGTACGGTACCATAGTGCATGTAAAAACCTCGATCTGTGGTAAACGAATAGCTTATCAATAACGTAAAGTAATAAAGTTAAGCATGCTCCTCTCTCGGGAAATATTGACTTCAGACGATTTTGGGTGTCGGCTAAGATTCTGGGTGTCGGGTGTCGGCTAAGATTCGTTTGGTTCTTATGCTCTCAATCATTTTACATTCATATTTCTGGCTTTCCAAAAACATAAGCTTAGAGGATACCTGATGAAAATAATTGCAGAAAGACGAGTCGCCTTCACAAACTTCATTCTCTTATGTGAACATCAAGTCACCGACCATTTACTTATTATGTGTGTTGGAAAGGGGGTATTGTTTTATTTTTCGAGACAAACATATTTGTTTGTATACGTGCAGGAACAAATTTTTTGTCTCAAAAATGAATGTTCTGTTTATTTGTTTCTACTTATTTTCAGTAGAAAAAACTGCTCTTTTCACTTCACTTCTGAACACAAATTCAAGATATTTAGAATTAAACAATTTATTTTATTGACTATGACTATAATTGAAAACCATTTTTCAAATTTTATTTTATTTTCTCATTTGGAAACTTGTTAAATGGCTTTAGAATAATCGTACACAATTTAATGAAACTCACAAAATGATACTTCTGCGCCAGTAGATAATTTTTTTTCAAAGGATAACACCCTCGTAAGTTTGTCTCTGGTGTATAGTTGTCTCATTTGCAATCATACCACATCTTCTACTCTTTATATATATATATATATATATATATATATATATACAAGTCTAAATTGAAAACAACGTTCAAACCTATGATTGCGTTGGATAAAAACCGCAATTTTTATACGTGTGCATGCAAAAACAAATTTCTTGTTAGAGGGGTCTAAATACAGCACAAACAACATTTTCCAAAAGACCAAAAAAGTGAAAAAGTATATTTTAACAAAACGCATTTGACTAACAGGTCGAACAACAAATGTTCTTAAACCCTGCTGACTGCCATGGGCGATTGCCAAATAAACGTATCACCGATGTAATAAATGGATCTTAATTATAAATTAAATACTAAACGAAAACAATAAACTTGCGGAAAAGATATATATACATGTATATATATACAAGTCTAAATTGAAAAAACGTTCAAACCTATGATTGCGTTGGATAAAAACCGCAATTTTATTGTTTTCTGTTTGGTATTAAATTAAGAACTAAGATCCATTTTGTTACATCTGGTGATCCGTTTATTTGACAATCGCCATGGCAGTCAGCAGGGTTTAAGAACATCTGTTGTTCGACCTGCTAGTCAAATGCGTTTTGTTAAAATATACTTTTTCACTTTTTTGGTCTTTTGGAAAATGTTATATATGTCAAATGAAACTTTCGTCATTTCTTGAATATTAAAAGCGACTTAAATATTACCTCATACTGTTGAAGGCATTCATTTATAATTCTATTCCTTAAAAAGACCTGAAAAGAAAATGAAATCTTGATAAAAATTGTAAGTAACCATTTGATTTATTCTTGTTTGTCGGGAAGGATAGAAAGAAGTGGAAACAATTCTGAATTCATTATTTTTTTCGACGAAAAGGGGGGGGGGATAACTTCTAAGAACCTTAGTTTTTTGTTTCGATATTTATTAAATATTAATTATATCTACAGTATATTTTTCAATGATATTAAGTTGTGTAATTCAACTGATCAATGACATGCTGATGTAAGGTAGCATTAAAACATGGTTCATATAAAATACAACATAATGTATTCAGGATATTTGAATTATACAGCACTATACTTACTTTAATTATAACATAAATAACGAAAAATATTTGAAACAGCCCAAAAACTGTCACCAATACGATGAAAACATAAAGATCAAGGTCGTCCTGGTAAGACTGTGAAGAGAACTGTGATATCACAGCGTGCCAGATACATACTGTGTATGTAAATAACATACTAAACAGTAAATACACATCCTGAAATATAAAGTTCAAGATATCAGAACTGGAATATTACGACGTATCAAATATAGTTGTCAATCGGCAAACCTCGGCAGATTCCGCTACCGTACAAGACTGTTAGATCTGCCGAGGTGTGCCGAATGATACAGTTGTGGTAGTACGTTAATACTATATTGAAGATAATAAACATTTTGAAACACTAATAAACTGATATTTTTTTACAAATGAAAAAAAAACAAAAAACAAGGTCACTAACATTGTAGCTGTTCATACAAGAAACAGATTTTCAAATAGCTTGCCTGGCAGTAGAACCTATTACATGTAATCATAGCTATGAGCTTTCAGTTTGAGCAAGTCAAATATTATCATAACATAAATTAAAAAAAACCTGAAGAAGCTTACATTGAGCGAACCTTTGGAATGTGTATGAAACTGAAGAGATTCGAACGAATACACATTCTAATTTCCTTTCACCAACTTCCGTTCATACTATTACATGTACATGTCACCACTCAAACTACTATATATACAATTGTGAAAAAGAGAACAGTTTTTACCTCTTACTCGTACATATGGAAAATTATCATCGTGCTTTTTTTTTTTACATGTAACCAGAAAGACACATGCCATCAAAACTCATGATACCAAGACACATGAAACATTATCCATGTTATCTTTCAGCCACGTTTCACATCTTTAACAGCTTCTATTCTCTGAGAAACGTTCGATGTAAACTTTCTTAAAGACTTGCACATAATCTTCATTCTGAATATATCCACAGCTTAAAATTGAAACCCGTTTCCATCTCTTTGATATTTTTATGGATGTGCAGGATCTGAAGATGACCTGTGTAAAGATTAATTTCGTATCTTTCCTAACATACTCTACCTCAAGGGTGACTGGGGAATAAAAATATGGCTTCCTTGGTCTTCTACCGACCGGCAGTAAAACCCTTGACAAAATAGGTCGTCCGGTTGGCTATGTGGGATGTATAAAAACGCTGGACGTCAAGCAGAAAAATTCATGAATCAATTCCTACATTTTTTTATGAATGGCAGCCGAAAATTCCAGCCCTTCATTGCAGTAACTCACTTTACAGAACCTATATTGTTGTGTAATTTGTTCTAGTCTAGACTTTTTATGAAATATTGGCCACTGGTCGATCAGTAAACGACGATCAATAAATCAATCACTTAAATATGTATATCCTTATTATTATTTTCTTATATATTTACGAAAATGGGACAAATTTGACTGGTCAGGTTTCAAAAATTTTATTGTCTCAAGCCACTAGCTACAACATCAGACAAGTTCCGTTCTCTTAGAAAATTTTAGAATTTGTCAAAGGGATGTAACTCCATTAAAATTATGTTGACAGATTAGATCCCTTGAGTGTTATATACATTAATAGCAAAGTACTAACCAATATTGTGTTGTACGATATTTTCGGTAACCCTTGATTTGTGACTATTCGGAATGCTACTGTAGTTAACATTAATGTGATGGATAACTGTAAACGATTCTGCGTCAAATTGTTGTCGACTGCAAATGTTGCTATTGAGGTAGATGAAATAAATCCCTGAAATAAAAAGCATAAACACTTTTAAGATTTGTTTTTATAAATTAATGTAACAGTATATCGGCAACACATTATTAAAATGGGTTATTATATACTTAGTAGTATATACAGATAAATTGTATGTGTAATACGGTCAACGGCAATCGTGTTGTATCAGCCATCCGTGATGATACCGATATCAGTCACGGTTGCAAAGGCTTTATCACACCTTTAATATGTATGAAGTCACGTCATCGATATCAGTCACTGTTGCAAAGGCTTTATCAAACCCCTATTCTGTATAACGTCATGTCACATAAAAACATCTACTTGAGGTATATATATAACCGGAAGAAAAGTGACATTGGGAACTTTTACAATAATTCGCAAAGTGCTTTATATCAACTCTCGTTTTAGATTGAATATTTATATGAACTCTCGTTTTAAATTGGATATTTATATGGACTCTCGTTTTAAATTGACTATTTCTCGTTTTAATTTTAAGTTGAATATTTCTTGTTTTAAATGTTTCTTCATTCTTAAATATAATGTTTCTTGATTTCAAATACCCAAGAGATTATAGATTTACTATTTTACAACTTGATCCGTTGGCTGTCAAAAGTGCGATACTTACACTCAACTTCAAAAGAAGCAAGTATCGCTATTTTGCTAAGTTTAGCCGGAGGACAATAATCCGTTTATGATTACATAAGATTAGACAATGACAGATATATTTCATGAGAACTTTTTATAATGTTTTTAAGATCCTTAACTTGAGATTAATGAATTATTGTATGTTTTGTAAACTGTTGCTTGGGCAGTCTTCCCCTAGCTCTCAAGCTGTACACATGTGAATAAATTTGTATATATTGTATATGGTCTTGCGTTTAAAGCAGCCACAGTGTCGATTATAGACCTACAGACTTTAATGTAACCCGTGCCGAAATTCACGGAGTTATACCGAAATTCACGGGGTTATATATATAATAAAGTTTATTTGATATGGCTTTTTCAATATCACACACTGTATCAACCCTCAACCAATATATTAATCCCTCGAACAGAGCTCTTGGGATTATATTGGTTTCTCGGGTTGATAAGGATGTGATATTGAAACAGCCATATGATATTCTCTATTAACATCACTCTCACCCAATGTCTTTTTAAAACGACTTAAGGAGAAAATATTTAATTTAACAAGGAGTATGCGCCACGCGTTAGGGGACGACCATTTGATTTTCTGGTGGGAGTGGGGGGATTTTGAAAATGAATAACTTGGCCTCGAAAGAACTGAAAATAAATAACATGGCATGGAAAGAACTGTAAATAAATAACTTTGCACAAGACTTGATGAAAATGAATATTCTAATATGACGTGCTTCTTTCGCTTTGTAAACAACACCGTGATAAAATTCTCGATATATCTATACTTAGCGCAGACTCAGAGATGTGCATATTGGTGGCTGTTATTATTTACCTCCCACGTAAATCTACATGTATCGTAACCTATGTGCAAACACTGTGTCGATTTCGTTGTGTCCAAATTGAAATTGAAAAAGAAACTACAGAACCGTTATTCCTATTATATTGCATAACAAAAATAATTAATGCACAAGAGCTTAAAAAATGTATACAATCAAATTAAAATAAAATTCCGCCAAATTTCATGAATGATCTTGGCGTCATATGAATGAAAACTCTAAAGCTGAATATTTTCCGTTACGTATACGCCCTAAGTTCGGATAATATTGCATTAAAATGGAGTTTTGAGGCAGGTGTTGTTTCATTTTCTATTCCATTGCATTATTCGCACATTTGTGGATTTCAGCAAGTCAACATGGCGGCTCCGCACTCCTTAGTTACGACATGTCAACTCTGGATTTGACAGTAAATAGTAGCCAACGAAAAATAAATGTTTGGGTTAAGAATTATGAGAATTGAACACAATTTTTCTACTGCTTATTTGAGAAATAATTCATGTAAGACTTGAATTTATATGAAATGTGTAGCTTTTATCTTACAGGGGGTAAAATAGAACAGCCATACACACAGGAATCTTACGTTCGCTTCAGTTTTTAAATTACCGTATTTGTCCTATTAGAATCGAAATAATTCATGGAAGCCATAGATTTGTTGGACATTTACACATGGCCTGGGCCGTGATATTCGTTAATTTTATCCCTCGCTAACGCTCATGATAAAATTCGATTATCACAGCCCAGGCCATGTGTACATGTCCAACAAATCTATGGCTTTCATGAATTATTTCTTAATTCTGCAACATAAAATTTAGGAAACAAATTTGAACAAAGGTGAAAATTAATCCGTAAAAAAATCCTACTACCCCTCCCCCCCCTTTCCGAATATCAAATGTTCGTCCCCTTATAAGAAACATGTATTTGTTACTTTTGTATTGGAGAGGATATATATAGGTTTAAAACTGATATGCAATCTTTTTCAGCTATATTCTGAATATAGTATTTTAAAATTAGATTAGTCATTGGCAAAAATTCCATGTTCAGTTGGTATGACAAATTCAAAGTAAGGTCAAACAAGAAGTGACTGCCTAAGTGATCTGAAAATCGCTTACAACTCTCTTTTACACAGTAAAACTCGTCAAAAATAAAGATTCTGCATAAACATCCAATCATTGTTCTTTATCTATAACAAAAGCTAAGAAAATTGTGACGAAAAAACAATACAGAAATAAAGATCCCCCAAACCATACCCTCTTAGATTTTAAAGCCATTACCATCACTAACACCATATTCCAAACGAAAAACTTCCATCTCCGGACCGCACAACATCCGGCACTTATACCCGGAAATGTTACCCTTTTCCTTTGGGAAAAATCTTTTCTCGTTGGCTTCTTTCGCATTGTAACAAAATCACAAAGTTGCCATTCTTGTTCATCAACAAAACATGCAGAATTTAACAGACTTATTTCTTCTTTGTCTTCTGCGATTTCTAACTGGCTTTGTGGGTATTCAGACGTAATGTATACATTTAAGAACTGATGGTCAAAAGGAAAATCTGGTAGTTCAAGTTTCTCTGAAAAAGCTCCTTGAAGGCGACGTTTTTCGACAATATATGCCTTCTTTTTGTCTGTATAATGAACTTCTTTCCACGGCTTGTCATCTTTGGTCTGTTCTATTAGATTTTGTACTATCAACTTTGGATCCCAGAAACTGTCTAAATCCAGCACATAGTCGTTCTAAAAATAAACATTAATATATTCATTATCAGTCATCACCTTTACGACAAATATACTGTAAACCAAATAATTTTGGCGAGCGATTCATTTTCTCGACTTTCGCGAGTAGAAAAATAACGCGAATATAAATGTAAAACTTGGACATTTCCTTATTTAACTAAATCAAGTAAATTTGAAAATCGCGAAATTAAATCGTCGTGAAATGGGCTAGAAAGGACTAAACGCGAAAAAAATGTATCCGCGAAAATAAGTTGGTTTACAGTACTGCATCGGAATGTTGTTTTGGAAAAAAGTTGGGATCATATATAAATATATATATATATAGTCGTTGTTTTGTCCATCCATACGTCCGTGCATGGTAACATTTTGCATACTAGAAAAATGGTCCCCGGATTCCTTTGCTACATGTAAATGGTTAGGAAATTACTCAGATGAAAGATGTTGGGAAGAAAAAGAAGCTTATTGATTTGGGGGTCAATTATATGTCAACATTCATAGCCAAATAATGTTTTTGTCAACTTTTGGTTTCTTGTGAATATCTCCAGTTTTTTGAGGGGGAGGGGAGTAAAAATTACATAGACAAAAGATATAGAAACATTGTTTTGATTTTCAGCTTAATAGGACGAAAGGTCTCTATTCTTTTTTAAAGAAAGCAACTTGTTAGTTGTATATGGAGGTTTGATTACACGAGACTGCTTTTCACATTACTAACGTTTTGATTGGCTGATCAGATGCCTTATCGTTTCTTATCGTTTACAAGAGTGGCAAAACAATTACAGAACTGCAAATTGTATTCATCCTGATTAAAATATCAGAACCAAAGTCAACCTTAAGTTGTGATACGCAGACTATGAATTTCGATCCCTTCTTATTTCGTAAACCTTCTTTTATTGTTTTTATGAAAATTTCGAGACATGTTTTCTTGAAACCTACATTTTGATCGTTTATTTTAAACATAAACGATTATTTTATTAAAACAACCTGTGTAAATCTCATATAATATTGATAACAGCAGGTTGAAAAATTCAGGCTTCTGCAGAATAAATCTTTGAAAATAATAAACCTTCTCATAATCATATTCAACCAAACACTAGATTAAGGGATCCATGCACAATATGTTCGGTAAAGCTAAGGGGCGAACCCGTTAAAATCTAAAGCCTCTGGAAGAAGTATTTATAACATATGCCAGCTGCATATATGTAGAATGAAATTTCATTAGAACATTGGTTTCTAAATGAAAATTCTTTGTGTATAAAATTCGGGATTTATATTGGACATGTGCACCCTAGACCTGACAATTAAGTCAGGATTAGCAGAACCTCTTCCAACTTTTTGAAAGGTTTTGACATCTCTTTATAATAAACTATTATTTTATTTTCTTGCAATATCATTCGGTATGTACCCGCAACCCATGCCCTCCTGAACCTGACGGGTCTGGGGAACACCTGTTCAGTTTTTAGATATAAGAAGATGTGGTATGAGTGCCAATGAGACAACTCTCCATCCAAGTCAAAATTCATAAAAGTAAACCATTATAGGTCAAAGTACGGTCTTCAAAACGGAGCCTTGGCTCACACCGAACAGCAAGCTATAAAGGGCCCGAAAAATTACTAGTGTAAAACCATTCAAACGGGAAAACCAACGGTCTAATCTATATAAAAAACGAGAAACGAGAAACACTTATGAACCACATCAACAAACGACAACTAATGAACATCAGATTCCTGACTTAGGACAGGTTCAAACAATTGCAGAGGGTTTAAACGTTTTAATGGTACCAAACCTTCACCCTTATCTGAAACAATAATGTAACATCACAACATAGAAAGACACACTATAAAATATCAATTGAAATGGCTTAACTCAATCAAAAGACATATTAACACCAGTGAACGTACACTGAACAAATACATTTGATCTATGATACAATGTAAATACAAAATGAATAAAATAAGGGAATAATAATTAAAGTAACATGTTATACCGCTGTGAAATGTTAAACAATTTAAGAAAAACAATATGCTTGAACAAAAATATCAGCCATTTGCAATTACTTTAAACACAGGTAAATGAAAATAATTTTGTTGTTAGGTATACGTGTACAGTTCAAATAGAGAAAAGAAATATTTTTACAAAATTAATAATTTTGTTGTTCATAGTACGAAGACGTGAAAATTTATAGTAATACCAAACTTTTATCAAAGCTGGTATATATTGTATGTTTCAATCCAACGAAGAATGCTTCACTTAACACTTCTTGATCACTATCGTAGATATCGTCGTAATAACCTTTTAGTTTCTTATAGTACATACAAGCTACGTACAAATAAATTATCACATTGGTTGAACAATATTAGGTCAATGTCAGAAAAATATTAACGTTTTGTTTGAGGCTTAGAAACTTGGAAAGGGTAATATAAAAAACGAGAAACGAGAAACGCTTATGAACCACACCAACAAACGACAACCACTAAACAACAGGCTCCTGACTTAGGACAGGTGCATTATCATGCAGCGGGATGTCTATACTCCCGAATAATTCTTTCGAAAGCAAGTCGTGCAGATATGTGTTAATTTACTTTTTAACATTCTTGCGACTTGCTATGATGAATACTGACTATTTTATTTGATTCTATCCTAAACTAAATACGAAAGCCCACCCTCTCTCTCTCTCTCAATGTTGCGTATCGTGCTACTTTATAAGTATAAAATATTCATACTTAGAACAACTTCAGCCTAAATTGCCTTAAATCACAAAGGCGTCAGTGAATTTTCACATGCAGAATCTAGATATTATTAAAAGTGTTTGATTGGATTTTCACGTCTTGACATCTTTCTTACCAAAAAAGGTTATGGTAACTCCAGAAAGACTTTATACTTAACACCTGTTAACATGTGTTAGTCACGTGTACTATCCTTTTTAATTGAAAGTATATAACCTTTACTAAATAGTATGAAAAGAGATCATAATAAAAATTATATCAAAAACAACGCCCAAACATAGAAATGGGGAACACAACGAATCTGACAGGAATGAACGAGTCTACAATGGGGAACACAACGAATCTGACAGGAATGTACGAGTCTACGATGGGGAACACAATGAATCTGACAGGAATGTACGAGTCTACAATGGGGAACACAGCGAATCTGACAGGAATGTACGAGTCTACGATGGGGAACACAACGAATCTGACAGGAATGTACAGAAATGATGTTTGGAAATTTAACAACCTATTCGGAACAGCAATTGTATGTCTGTGTGCTGCCGTACTCAACTCGATTTGTATGATAACACTGTTTAAATCGAAAAAACTGCAGAAAAGTAGATTTCACTTTCTTACGCTTTGTTTGAGTATTGGAGACTTTCTGACTATGATATTCACAGTTGTTTTACTAACAAACTCATCGTTGGAAGTAATGGGGGTCAACATGGGGTACTTATGCGCTATAACGTCTTCATTCGTGTACTGCTCAATACTATTTTCACTTTGTCAAACATTATTCATTTGTGTTGAAAGGTTTTTAGCAACGTCAAAGACAAACAATACTTGCCGAAATGTTTTATCACAAAAGAAGTGTGTACCTTTGGTGTTCGGTTTGTGTGTCGTGTACACAGTTATCATCAATGGCATAAGCGGGTTCAAAGTGAAATATGGATGTTTGGGAAACAAATATTCATTTACATACATGGTTTTTAAAGAAGTCCCATTAGTGTCACTTTTAATTGTTATATTTTTCATCTATATGAATACGGCTATCAGAATAAAGCAACTTTTAACAAAAGTGTCGTTTATCAATAATGGTACGTCCTGTGTACAAAGGAGAGGAAGAATTCAACGTCTTAAATTGAACCTGTTTACTTTGGGGTTAGTTCTCATAGTATTGGTCATATCAATTGTACCAAGAGTGTTTGTTGCTTTAACAGGACAACAACAAAGTGGTAACTATGGCAATATTACATTATTAGTTCCACCAATATTCAATCCTCTGATATATTTTCTACGCTTTGTAGAATTCAGAAACATTCTGAAACAAAATTGTGCGTGTTCCTCTAGAAATGACGAATCATCAGAGGATAGTGCGTCTCCGGTTGACATTTCCTCTCACATTCCGATAAACGAAGGAACCAGTATAAACACAGAACAAGAGACAACAAGCATAGTTCAGAAAGATTATCCGTTAGGCATTTCCCAAGATTTTTCAATAAACGAAGGAACCAGTATAAACAAGGAACAAGAGACAGTAAGTACATTTCAAAAAGTTCATCCGTTCGGCATTCCCCCCAATTTTTCGACAAACGAAGGAACCTGCATAAACACGAAACAAGAGACAACAAGCATAGTTCAGAAAGATTATCCGTTAGGCATTTCCCAAGATTTTTCAATAAACGAAGGAACCAGTATAAACAAGGAACAAGAGAAAATCCTTCGTTTATAGATTCGTCCAAAATTCCGATAAACAAAGGAACCATTATGAACGAGGAACAAGAGCAAGAAGTTACATTTAGTAAATTTCTTCCGTATGATATTTTACCCGATTTCCCTATAAACAATGAACAAGAGACGAAAAGCACATTTCAGAATGATTATCCGTTTAGCATTTGGTATTTGACCTCGATTTTTCGACAAATGAAGGAGCCACTATAAACAAGAAACAAGAGACAGAAAGCACGTTTCAGAAAGATTATTCGTTTACCATTTTCATATCTATACATTTATTGCAGAGCATGCCAATAATCATATTTATGTTTTTGCTCAATAAGTGTATTATTTGTGTACTAGGCGAACGATTTGTGAATTTAAGCAACTTTGCTTGTTTCTGAATCCAAGACATTTACTTCAAGTGTAATTATTGTAATATGATGATTTATCTAAATACATATTGTTTAAACAATATTCTATAATAGTAAGCATGCTCTATAATTATTATATTTTTTGTAAATTTTACAAATCGTTTACAGGACAAGACCAGATTTTATAAGTTTGCTCTATTTGTGTCTGATATCTTTTTCATATTTAAGCTAATTCAGGACAGGAACAAGTAGGTTCTGTAAAGTACAAAATTTGTAGGTCTACAGGGGAAAAGGCGGGAAATTAACGTTGCCATTGGAAAGTAGTTGCAAGTTGGATAGAATTAATTCTGCCTTGGAACAGGCCACCCACGGACCCATCAGAGAGTTGTTAGGGTTTTTCTAAATGTTCATTTTGACACATCTAATAATCTAATACGCTTTTATTTTTTTTTTGTGCCCAAATAATAAAAACCGTTGGTTTTTTTTCCAATCCAGATGGGGGTTTTCACATCTAATCCATAGATGATCATCAAGCTTATAACAATTCACTAATCAGCCTTAATATATTTATATATCCTTCTTGGATATGGTAAGTTCTACACAGAATGCTTGTAAGAGGGTCTGGATGGAGGGGTGTCACTTCTGGGTTTTTAGTCATTTTTCTACATTCCATGTTTGTTTGCCCATTATTCCCTATTTTGTTTTATATTTTAAAACCCCAAAATGATCTATCTGTAAAATTTTTTCCATTTTTTCTTAATGGGTAATCCCTATCCAAAGCCAGTATTGGAAAGCAAATGTAAAATGTACATAAATTTTCACTTCTTCGAACTATGAACATCAAAATTATTCATTTTGTAAAAATATTTCCTTTCTCCATTTGAACTGTACACGTATACCTAACAACACAATTATTTTCATTTATCTGTATTTAAAGTAATTGCAAATGGCTGATATTTTTGTTCAAGCATATTGTTTTTCTTAAATTGTTTAACATTTCACAGCGGTATAACATGTTACTTTAATTATTCTTCCCTTATTTTATTTATTTTGTATTTACATTGTATCATAGATCAAATTTATTTGTTCAGTGTATGTTCACTGGTGTTAATATGTCTTTGATTGAGTTAAGCCATTTCAATTGATATTTTATAGTGTGTCTTTCTATGTTGTGATGTTACACTATTGTTTCATATAAGGGTGAAAGTTTGGTACCATTAAAACGTTTAAACCCGCTGCAATTGTTTGAACCTGTCCTAAGTCAGGAATCTGATTTTCAGTAGTTGTCGTTTGTTGATGTGGTTCATAAGTGTTTCTCGTTTCTCGTTTTTTATATAGATTAGACCGTTGGTTTTTCCGTTTGAATGGTTTTACACTAGTAATTTTTGGGGCCCTTTATAGCTTGCTGTTCGGTGTGAGCCAAGACTCCGTGCTGAAGACCGTACTTTGACCTATAATGGTTTACTTTTATAAATTTTGACTTGGATGGAGAGTTGTCTCACTGGCACTCATACCACATCTTCTTATATCTATGTATTAAATCACAAATCGCTGCACGTACCTTGCAAAACCCCGAAATAAAGGAGCAATGCTTTTTTATGGTGGCTGGTTAAGGCCATTTTGCGTTTTCGCCTTTCATATTCTACAGGACGAAAACGCGAAAACGAGAGGTGAACCCATTAGTGCATTTTGAACTTATTTTTTTTTATATTTCTACTTGTGTGGATACGGATTTGATTTCAAGAGTATATATGAGAATTTACATACCAAATTATATCAACAAATACAAAATGCATATTAATACCATTACATGTTCTTATTTTACTGGAGCAGATTAGTGAAGACGAGGCCTGTTAGGAATTTGACAGCTATTGCATGCCAGGTTAAATTGTAAAAAAAATAAAAATATATCTCAGTTATATTGAATAACTTTATTTATATTCTTTTTTAAAGCGATGAAAGCATGAACAATACGAATCAACCGATTAGATTATTAATGAGATATGTTGACATATTTTTACAGGTCAACCGGATATAATATCGGTGAGGTATTCATTATGAATTTTTTTCCTTCTTAACCCTAAAGTAAGTGATTATCTAATAGTATAAATCTTTCAATCTAAAATTACCTTTTCATATGTTAGGTTTGATTAAAGTTTTCCTGTTTAAAACGTCGAGTTTATATAATAGATCCTCTGTTATTCGCTGTCTATATGTTTTATAATTGCATAACTTTATTTTATAGTAATTCTATATCCTACATTTCAAAATTTCAAAATGTGCTAATAAATTATGATATTTTGCATTTGTCAATTTCAAATAAACAATTGTATTCTTTATAAAACGGACTATTCATGTAATCTAAAAGTAAACATTATTTTAATAATATATAGCATCTACATAACTGAACAACAATCACACAGATGAATTAGTGTCGATATGAATTAATCTCCAGCGATTAAACCATTTACTAGTACTGTGAAAGTACTTTAAAACATGCTTATCAATTTTCGTGGTTTGAAGAAAAGGTACATGTTCGTGGATCCTTCAATTCATTGATTTCAGATTTTTGAGAACAAAAATACAAGTATAAGTGAAAATTTTAGTATATAAATATTTACAAAGAATGATAGGTATAAGAACGGTTGTCAAGATATCCGTCCCAGCTTGGTGGCATTTTGCATAGCCCTTGTTTTAAATCAGTGAATAACAGATTGTTATTGTTTACATGTGTTATCCTGGAAGTATTGTGATTATGTTCTTAGACTAATACTTGTTATTGTTGGGTTGCCTATTTAGTGTTCAGTGTATTGACGTTTTGCATATTTCCAAATTTGCATTACCATTGCGCCAATAGATAATTTCATACGGGACAATAAAAAGTATTCCATTCGCACCCATTTGCAGGTAAAAAATGCGATACAAAAGTTGTGTGTAAAATTGAATATTGAAATGACTGCAGCTATAGTATTCCCTCCATTTGCCACATTTTGAGCTGGACAAATATTAATTCATTAAAACTATTCACATCAAATCTTTTAAAAATGCAAAAGATTCAGCGTATCTCGTCAAAGTCACATAGATGAGTTTTCAAAGATAGTCAACAATAAAATTTTAGAATAATAGATTCCATAGGATGACCAGTAATAACAAATAAGACAATATTTATTTAGATGATTTTTGAGTATTAATATATCAACCACCTAAAATGAAACAAAATAAAGGTGCACAATCATTATTAGTTCGTGCAATTACTATTACTAACTCTATATATTTGAATATATACATTTGTTAGTGGGAAAGAAGCGTGCTTAATGTCAAACTTGGCGAAATATATCAAAGGGAATTTCAAATTAACTCATTAGTCGAAAAAACTCGCAATATCAGGGGCGGATCCAGCCACTTTTAAATGGTGGGGGTTCCCAACCCTGGATAAAGGGGGGTCCAACTATATGTCCCCAATCAAATGCATTGATCGTCAAAAAAAGGATGGGTTCCAACCCCCGGACCCCCCCCCCCCCCCTCCAACCCTGGATCCGCCACTGAATACTATCTGAATACTATGACAAAAAAAAAAAAGAAAAATGATAAAAAAAACCAACAGCATACAAAACACAACATAGATAAACAAAGACTGAGTAACACCATCTACTAAAACTGAGTAACACTATCCACTAAAACTGAGTAACACTATCCACTAAAACTGAGTAACACCATCCACTAAGACTGAGTAACACCATCCACTAAAACTGAGTAACACCATCCACTAAAACTGAGTAACACTATCCACTAAAACTGAGTAACACCATCCACTAAAACCGAGTAACACCATCCACTAAGACTGAGTAACACTATCCACTAACACTGAGTAACACCATCCACTAAAACTGAGTAACACCATCCACTTAAACTGAGTAACACCATCCATTTAAACTGAGTAACACCATCCACTAAGACTGAGTAACACCATCCACTAAGACTGAGTAACAGCATTCACTAAGACTGAATAACACCATCCACTAAGACTGAGTAACACAATCCACTAAGACTGAATAACACCATCCGCTCAGACTGAGTAACACCATCCACTAAGACTGAGTAACACCATACACTAAGACTGAGTAACACCATCCACTAAGACTGAGTAACACCATCCACTAAAACTGAGTAACACCATCCACTAAAAACACCGGGGATGATTTCAGGTGCTACAGAGTGGTAAGCAGATCCTGTCCAGTGTGTGACACCCGTAAATTTCTTTAAATTAATGAATAAGGTTGCTTCATCTTAATTGTTAAACAAACAATAATTTTTGGAGTCAGCAAAAGCACGTATTTGGGTTGTTGGTATGATGGATAAAAACCCAAGTTTGGACGCTAATATAAAAATACGAAGATGTGGTATGATTGCTAATGAGACAACACTCCACCAGAGACCAAATGGCATTGAAGTTAACAACAATAGGTAACCGTAGGCCTTCAACAGTGAACAAAACCCATACCGCACAGTAAGCCATAAAAGGCTCCAACTTAATAAATGTAAAACAATGAAATCGAGAAAACAAATAATTCTAAGATTGAGCACGTATCCCGTCCCAGCTCTTCATTGATTCCGACTCCAATGGTTAACTTAACAATGTGTCTAGTATAACGTTTAACAGTCGTCAAAATCACCATTAATATCAACACAGGATTACTGACTAGATAATTATCTGTTAAATATTGTGCATTATATTAGTTACACCAAGGCTTACCTTGTGTTTCAGTTTCTGTATTAATAAATAATATTTAGTGAATGAATTACTTTTATTGCAAACTTAATATGAATAAAAAGCAAGTATTATATAAGAAATTACCAAAATGATAAACCTATGGGTATCGCTGTATTGTCTCTAAAGGTGGAAAAATGCCCAATGCCAAAATCTCACAAGATGGGTCCACGTCTAGCCAAGTTGTGAGCATAGTCGACTATCTTAAAACATTCATTTTGTAGTAGAGAATTGATAAGAAGTAGTGGATTCGTAAACGATAATCAACGAGCGACTTTAGTCGCAAGTTGATTATCGTTTCCGAATCCACTACTTCTTATCAATTCTCTAGCTTAACCCATTTCTATTAAAACGACTGCCTGTTTTACGTTTTGACAATGAATCAACGATATTTCATAAAAATAGTTTAGTATTTTGTCTTTTTTATTCTATAATAGCTGGAAATGATTATATCCACACGGTTCGCATCTATAATTAGACATTTGACAAGTTAACATAAGTTTAAGATAACTTAAATGGGGTGTTAGCTCCCCTTTTTAACACCAGATTTTAGTTTTGTATATACATATTTCATTTAATGTTTAATCATTACAAATTATTTATATTGAATAGATTTTGGTATATTTAATTTATTCAAAAAGACATATATTAATATACAGAATGTATTTATCTTGTTTTGAAAAGTTAAAAAAATTTAATTACCAAAATTTAGAACCTTCAAAATTTATATATATAATATTTAGCAACATGTTTTGGTTAATTGAATACTAAACACCGTTAAGCCGTTCTTAGTCAAAAAAATATTGATAAGGTAGATGCCATAAATCTGCAATTTCATAATGCTCAAATTCATGTTGCTTTCCTAAAGTATTAAAATTATGTGCTTACGATTTAAATTGAACAATTATATTCAAATCTGTTTAAGCTGTTTCCGTTTCATTAAGTTACGATTATTTTAACGTTATTACATTTGGCACATATCGTTCACCGGTAAATAAACTACTTTTATCTGAGGTACGCATTCTGAATCCCCATCAGAATTGCTCTTGCTACGGATGTACAATGAATAATTATCTTGATTTCATAAACTTACCATCAAGCTGTTCGTAGCTGTGATCGTCTAGTCGTTGGTAACGAATGTCATAACGGTGATATTAACAGTGCAAAGTTCGAACCTTGTATCCGGAATGAAATTTTTTCATTGTAATTTTTTTATCGATAAAAATAGTTTTAATCTTAGAGGTATTATATACTTCATTTTCATTTAAAGGCGATGATTTTGTTTCTGGTTTTACAGTCAAAGAAGTAGTTTAACGGTCGTAGCTTATATATCACACTTTACTCAAATTAGAGTCCGTTCAATGTTGACGTGATATAAATAAATTTGAAAAGAACATGAACAAATCCAGACATAGTATATATATTTTATTAGATAACAAAAGCGAATTATCTCTGAGATAGAAATACAGTTGATTGACATGTATTGACAGTTGTGCGCTTTAAGAGTGTTATTTAAATATTGATTTATGTGAGCACTCGTGGTATAGTGGTATCATGCATAGACTGAAGACTCTACTGATTATGAAGAAAATACGCGCGAGTTCGAACCCTTCATATGCCACTCGTTTTTGAGAGGATAAAAAATCGTAAGTTAAAAGTTTAAAGTTATAAAATAAGTTATCTTAAGTTAACGAAGTGGTCAGTGGATTCTTGAAAAATAATCCACTGTAAGAACAATAGAATGACGTCAGAGAAATGGGTTAAGTCAGATTATTTAGTTCCAGCTCATACCAGGATAGAATATATATTTTCAAAATCCCCCCTAGTCAGTGTACGAATACAAATGTACTTTTCAAATTCGAAAACATAAAGGTAGAATAAAAAGTACATGTAAACGTATAAATAAAAAGTACATGTAAACGTATAAATAAAAAGTACATGTAAACGTATAAATAAAAAGTACATGTAAACGTATAAATAAAAAGTACACAAAAACGTATAAATAAAAAGTACATGTAAACGTATAAGTAAAAAGTACATGTAAACGTATAAATAAAAAGTACATGTAAACGTATAAATAAAAATAGTAAAATTACTGATCAATTGTGTAAGAGTATTATATGACAATAAAATTGAAGACACAAAAAAATATGAATCCAGCAAGTTTAGAATTCTAACACTGAACGACTATTATCATCATTATGCTTAACGATGGAGAAAGAGTTCTTCTTAATGCTTAGGGGACGACCATTTGATATTCTGGGGGGGGCCAGGAGGATTTTGAAAATAAATAACTCAGCCTTGATAATCACAAAAATAAATGGTTTGTTCTGTGGTAGTTTGAAAATAAATAACCTGACTTGCAATGTATTAAAAATAAATAACTCGGCAGGTCTATTTGAGAGCATGAGATTGCACCAGATTCTTCATAAAATTCAATTTTTTTCAAAAAAAATCGGGAATCACTTCCCAAATCTTTGAATAATAAAAGTATAAATATTATTTAAAATACTTGAAATGTCTGAAAAATGGGTTTCATTTAACTTGAGGTATATTGTCTCAGGAACACTTAACCTGGGAACAGTATATCTAACGGGAAATGAATCTGATACGCTTTTCAGTATAAAATTGATAAAATCTCGGACTCCCCGAGACTTCCCAAGATTTACGGCTTTTGGTAGCGTCTGACTGAAAAACTATCAGAACTGCTCAACAAATAAACCACATAACTCTAATTGTAAATAAATACAAGTTTTATCATTTAGTAGATATATTTTGTCATATAAAATTACCAAAATAAGTTTGATTTATTTGATGTGAAGTGTTTTATAATAGTTTGGGAATTTGTAAATCATCGCGGCAATGGCCGCCATTTTTTTATTACCTGGTTTGCATTCTGCACAATTCTGTGATGAAATGCTTGCGATTTTAACAAATTTGAAGTGACAGAATACAAGTTTGATACACTAGCATCACTATAAAACTAGTTTGAATGACATTTAATTGATAATATCAGAAATTATTAGGATAATAGCGAGTCCGTTTTTAACACATGTCCGTTTCTGTATCGTATCTTTATTAACTATGGCACGACGATAAAATCGACTACAATCAGGTAGTGTCAAGTCCCGTCAATATATATGTTCCTGACTTAACTCACTTTTATTAGCTATGGCAGTAACTACATTCAGGCAAATGCCTCATGTAGGAAATTTCAAAACCAAAAGCTTGTCTTCATATCAAATTGTTTTCACATCAAGTGTCTTGCAAGAAGCAAGTTCTGTTCTCCCTCAGACGTAGATCCTGTTTTTTGGGGATCAATGTTTCTTATTTATTTGTCTTTTGTTCATTGATTGCCCTTCTGTATTCTGTTAGTGTTGCATTCCTTTTGTAATTTAGTAATTTTGTTATTAACTTGATCAAGAGTTTAAAAAAAAAACAGCAGCCACATACTTAACTATGTGAATTAAATTTTTGCTTTATCTTTGTCTTTTGATGTTGTTCCTAAAAACTTAAGTCTTACACTGAATCTATACATGTTGCTTTGAGACCAAAATATTGTCAAAAAATGATTAAAACAGAACTTTCATTTTCAGATTAAGAAAGGGTATGGGAAACACATTTTGCATCATTAGTTCTATAGCAACTTGGGGGCTTCAGCGGCTCCAAAACCCTTCAAATTTTTTTAGCCTCGCTCCGCTCGGCATAAATGATTTGCAATACTTTTAAAAGACACTAATTACAGCCAAACTTTGATATCTTGTATGTATGCAATACATGTATATGCAGTTGGGAATTCAGAAGATTCATTTCTACAGATGATGATGATTAATTCTGATTAAATAGTACATAATGATTGGACTATTCATGTATTATTTATAATAAAACATAAATTTAAAAATTGTATGTTTTCAAATATTATAAATATAGTTGTGAAAATAAATAATCAGTCCCTTGCTTTAATGAAAATGAAAAATCTTGCTTCAACAGTGCAGAAAATAGATAATCTGTCCTCTTAGTTTACAAAAATAAATAACCGATCAAAAACAAATCCTCCTGGCCCCCCCCAGAATATCAAATGGTCGTCCCCTTAACATGGTCTTCCGGGAATCCATTATAACAGTTAATTTGAAAGCAAGGTTTGTAAACTATTCATTCTAATCTACTCCCATTTACCATATGTGCTGAATTTACAAAAATGTTGTTTAAGGTTGTCAAATAAAGGACTTATTTGTCCCAAATTGCCATTGAATATAAAGAAAAATACTTCCACTACATTATAGAGAGTTGAGGTATGATATTGTTTACCACTTAGTCTTTAGTTAAATTTTAAAATATTTGAATAAAGTAAAGAAAATGTCATATATATACAAAAGCAAATGAGCAGCGGTACATCTACATTGCTGTTCTCCATTTCAAAGTCACAGTGAGGTATTCGACATTGAACAAAACCTATCACAACACTGCAAGATCAAGACGGTTTTGGTACCAGTGTACATTGTATGTGGTATGAAATGTCGTTCAAACTACATTTCTACATTGGGGAGATATCAACAAATTTCAAATTAGAATTGTCAAGGAAATCTAACAAATGCTGCTATGAATCTAATGCATTCTGGGTAATATTTTCAAAAACCTACACCAAAACGTTGTGATTGGTTTAAAACGTTCTAAACAATGGAAATTCAAACAATGACGTAATGCTATTTTCATTTTTGGTGTACGAACAATGAGATTATCCATAGTGCTTTAGATTCTGAAAAAAGGTGTACTTTAACTTTAAAACTTAATACGCAATATACAAATTAAATTTAGAAAGCCACGGGTCACTTCAAGATATACATGTATGATAGACAACAAGACAGGTAATTCCTGTTTGAATGGTTTTACACTAGTCATTTTTGGGGCCCTTTATAGCTTGCTGTTTAGTATGAGCCAAGGCTCCGTGTTGAAGGCCGTACTTTAACCTAAAATGAGTTACTTTTACAAATTGTGACTTGGATGGAGAGTTGTCTCATTGGCACTCATACCACATCTTCTTATATCTAGGTAATAACGCATGAACAGGGCAAACAATAGGACTGCTTAACATAAACAAACAGGACGAAAGAGAGAAAAAACGAAATAGTTTTTAGTTTATTAATTTCATTTGTAGAAAAAACCAATCATTCACTTCCCCGTTAAATTCAATTAGAATTACATTAAAACTTTTTCATTTCTTTTATTTTTTGACAGATTAACCGAAAACAAATGCGATTAAAAATATATTCACTTTCACGTAAAATTCAAATAGGGTATATTAAAACGAAATCTTTTATTTTTGAATGTTTTACATTAGATTAAATAACTGAAAATAAATGCGATTAAAACATCTTAGCATGACACGATTTACTGACACTATGTGTTTTGTTTGCTATTCAATGTTGTTAATTGATACATTTTCCATACATGTACATGTATATTTAATCAGACTACATTCTGTCGGGAAACGTGTAAAGGATAGTTCAACATCAATACATGTACATGTACATGTATATTTAATAACTACATTCTCTGGGAAGCGTGTAAAGGATAGTTCAACATCAATACCAACAACACAGCCATTCTAATGTCCCCGTGGACGCCTAAAAATATAGGATTGTGCACATTTTTTCTAGAGGTTAGAGATGTGTAAACCGGAACGATGAACTCGCAAGCTGAATAGATTTTATGTAAACTTTGTGAGTGAGCAGTCCAGTTTACACATCAATAACATCAACAAAAAGTTCTAACGAAAGAATCCTTTTCAAATCTTTGTAGAAATACTCATTATACATGACATTTATAGTTGCAATGCAACAAATAGATTCAAGACAGGGAAGGAGGAATAGGTTAGACCTAAACATGATGTATTGACCTTCAATGTTTTCTTAATTGACAGCCGTATTTTAATTGACCTCTAAGTAAAATATAAATATAATAAGATATGATATGTAATAAGTATAATAATAAAAAAAATGAAGTATACAATGATAACATAGCATTATGCTTTCACATAAATATTTTGTTAAATTGTTGTTCCTCTTACCTTGTGATCTAATTGTTTTTCCCGCCATCTTGCTTGTATGAAAATATCGGCTGTATACTTCTCTTTCACTGTATCGATTTCACCGATCTTCAGAAAATGAACTTTTATGAACACTTGCTTGACCTACAATGATTTACAATAGACAAGATGTAATAAATTACAGTTTTTTCGGAATTGTAGTAATAAAAATGATACCAAGTTTATAAATTAGTATGCCAGACTTTCTTTTCGTGTACAGAAGACTCATCACTAGTGTTTGTATTGAAACATTTGGAAGGCCAATTCAAGATTGGCGTTGATGAGCATTGACGAAAAAAATAAAAAATACAAGACTTATAAATTAGAAGATGTGGTATGAGTGCCAATGAGACAACTCTCCATCCAAGTCAAAATGTGTAAAAACTTAAAGTAAACAATTATAGGTTAAAGTACGGCCTTCAACACGGAGCCTTGGCTCACACCGAACAGCAAGCTATAAAGGGCCCCAAAATGACTAGTGTAAAACAATGCAAACAGGAAAACCAACGGCCTAATTTATATAAAAAACGAGAAACGAGAAACACTTGTTGTGCCAAATATGGCTTTCCTTTTATAGCTGACTGTGGTATAGGTTTTTGATATTCAAGCTCATAAGTCGAAGACAAACTAACAACGTCATGGCAAAACAAATACGACCAAAAGACAAACAACCATACACAATGGTATGGGTTATGCTCATTATTAAAGGCCGTACGATGACCTATAGTTGTTCACTTCTATGTCATTTGGTCTCGTGTGGAGACTTGTCTCATTGGCATTCATACCACATCTTCTTATTTTTATATTTGGCCTTCTACATGTGTGCCTGCAATGGGTAAAACACCTTAGAGTTTCGAATTAAAAAAATATATATGAAGAGTAAATTTACAGATAATAATTATATTAATAATATTCAGTGTCAGCACAGGAGTGCTGACTACTGGCCATGGGCTGGTGATACCTTCTAGGACAAAACGTCCATCAGCAGTTGCATCAACCCAATCGTAAAAAGTTATAAATGATACCAGACTTATAATTCAGTACTCCATTTGCAGACGAAACGCGCTTCTGGCGTATACAAAATGTTGCGCCTGGTATCTATGATGAGTTTATATGCAGACGCGCACCTTGTTTTCATAAGACTCGTCGGGGGTCTCGTGGTATCGTGCATTCGCCTCGAGTGCAGGAAGTCTTGTCTGCTAAGCACGCGGCATTTAGGAGCAAAACCAGACTGGTCGACTCGAAGTCGGAATAATGTTTCCGTGTATAGGGCGATACATGTATGTAATTCTGCGGACTGCTACCTTGAGAAATAGCATGTTAAAAATTCGGTTCATCACGTCGGTCTATTATAAAGCAGGGTTCTTATTACATTACAATGTTCTTTTCCTTATGATATATGTAATATTTGCCACTGAACAATAAACACTAACTCATCATCCCCATCATCTTAAGACAATATAACTTGACAACTTTCGTAGGGAAAAACTTATTTTAGGAAGACCATTTAGATTGCATATCACCCACCCGATAACGTTTATAGAGAGTGAATAGTCCTTTCATAATGTTTAGAAATATAACACTTGTTTTCCATTCATTCGGTTGGTTGATAAAGTCGAGCGTTTGATTTTGTCAGGTGTTATGGACCTCCGTTTTGTAATTTACCTTGCAGTTCGCAAAGCAAATGAAAATGTCCTTATGTTAGTGAACTAAGATTTATAACGTTTATTGTTAATTTGGATCATTCAATATTGATATGTAAATAGGCGCTATCAAATACTGTACTCGACATGTATAAATAAATATCTTATAAATATCTTATTACGGTAAACACATTTCTAAAGTATTGAATGTTCAATTGTAGTTAAAATGTCATAATATCGCGACTAAAATAGTGTTGTTGTAATATGCAAATATCTCAGTCAGGGACTTTTAAAGTAAGACTACTATTTGAATTATTGCTCAAGCATTTTGCGAACAGGGAATAACGTTTTGTTTTACCCAAGAACATAAAAAATGTTGTTAAAATTGTAACATAAGTCGCGTGTAACTTTTCACCTGCAAACAACGAAAATAACGTTTGATTTTCAGTTTCTGAATCGAATTCTTGTCTAACGACCAACTTTGAATTAACTAAAAAAAGTCTAAGACTTTTGATTTTTGTATTTAAAATCTCCATTGTCGCCACTAAAATAAAAAAATTCTCTGCAAACTCTTCATTAATTTCAAGGTTATGTTTAAAATAAAATATATTTCTACAAATTTGTAGCAAAAACAAGAAATTGTGAAACAACCATATATGGTAAGTTGTGGTGCGTTATTTGTGTCGTTAATAGATATAGGAAGATGTGGTATGAGTGCCAATGAGACAACTCTCCATCCAAGTTACAATTTATAAAAGTAAACCATTATAGGTCAAGGTACGGCCTTCAACACGGAGCATTGGCTCACACCGAACAGCAAGCTATAAAGGGCCCCAAAAAATTACTAGTGTAAAACCATTCAAACGGAAAAACCAACTGTCTAATCTATATAAAAGCGAGAAACGAGAAACACGTATGAACTACATAAACAGACGACAACTACTGTAATCAGATTCCTGACTTAGGACAGGTGCAAACATTTGCAGCGGTATTAAACGTTTTAATGGTACCAAACCTTCTCCCTTTTCTGAAACAATAGTATAACATCACATCATAGAAAAACACACTATAAAATATCTATTGGAAGGCTTAACTCAATCAAAAAACGTAAATTAACACACAATGAACGAATAAATTTGACCTGGGACACCTGAATGCAAGTAGATATGTTCTAGTCTGCAGAAGGGGTCTATCGGGATGGAGGGCAGGAAATAAGGATTAAAACTGTAAGAACTAGTAGATGGTTGATAAATGAGGGTGTGGATAGGGGTTTACAGAATAGATGACGTTGGATGGTTGCTTAACGTCCAGGGGCAAATTAATCTTATTCAGGACGAGAACATGTCAATGTAATTGCTTTGTACTAGACCTACACGCTGAGTCGGATTTTTAACGGCTAGTTCACAAGGTTAAAGTCAGCAGGGAGACATGTCACCTTACCCGGACACATTATTCTGACTCCAAGCCGACCAATCTTTGCTCTTACCTCTTAATACCGCGTGCTGAGCGGAGAAGTAGCAAATATTAATTTTAAAATCTTTGGTTTGACCCAGCCGGGGTGCAAAGCCACGACCTCCCGCACTCGAGGCGAACACGCTACCACGAGACCACTGAGGCGGTTTAATAGAGAATAATATTAAAAAAATATAAAGAATAAAGAAAAAAAAGACCAAAAAAAAAATAAAGAATAGAGAATTATGAGGTGCTAAAATATAACGAATAGAGAATAATGTGCAAAAAGTATAAAGAAAAGAGGAAAATGGCCAAAAAATTAAAAGAATACAGAAATGAAGGATCCCCATCCAGACCCTCAAATTAATCTCATACAAGTTACTAGCAGCTATTATAGATTACTTTAGAATTACTTTCAATTACTGTAAAAATCTGTCGAGACTCCTGGTGACCCCCCTCCCACTGTAGACTTGTTCTATATAGGACAAAATTGACTGCTGCCCATGCATAAGCATGATCAGTTAAAAGTGATAAATAGGCGTTTTAACCAATTATTAATGAAATTCAAAACTAACGGATTTTAGTTTTAATTAAAAGGTAACATGTAATCTAAAAGATTTGCAACTCTTAAAGATTACACATAATCCGCAAAAATCCAAAATATCTATACAACAATTTGCGAAACGCGTTTTCTCTAAAAGTCAACAAAAATGAGTGAATCTTAAAACTAGTAAAACAAATTTAAAAAAGTACGAGTGAAAAAACTCTTGAAAATTTCTGTTTAACTTATGACCAAGGTTAATCGTCAGATATTTTATGTACGAAAGATCTTTTTGTCAGCAAGCGTTTGCCCTTGTAGGAGCCTATTAATTTCTTTTGAGAATAAGAGTGTATGCTCAATGCAGTGAATTTTCCGTATTAACTATTTTAATTCCTACACCACCATGATTCCTTTCAAACTCGCCATATTGAAACTAATCCCACACATATTACCTTAATGTTATTTTAAATGATGATTCGTACGTAATCGGTTGGAAAGATGAAATTATTACAACTTATTATATAGGTAAAAACGCGCACCTGCAGAGATTACAAATTAAATTATTTTTTGCATTAATTTAACTTACCTTTGGTTTAATATTGGGTAATTTATCCTCCATTTTTTTCTATAACCTATCGACTTTTCACATAGTTGTTTACATTAGATACTGGGTTCAATCGATTTCTCAAACTCATTTAAACTTCAAACAAGATATCCATATACATCACTGATAAATATGTATCCAGGTATGAAACGTATAAAGGAAACAAAACAGCACATCAGGCTATTTAATATAGTTTGCACGTAAATAATATTTCTGTGAATGATTCGCGGTTGCATGGCTAATTAAGGTTTTAACCCGATTAAATATATTGGTAAACAAATGTCAATATAATTATAATACTTTATAAAGGTATTACGTTTAAATCTTAATGACATATTAACCCTGACCCCCAGGTAAGATCAATTAAGATTTCTTTGTATATTAACCTTACATAATAATTATTAACTCCTTATTTAATTATTGTATACATTCGCTAAGGTTCAAGGAAAATAACGTTGCATGTTTGACACTACTTGGGATTATTATGACTCTGATATTGTACAAATATGCATAATTATGATATTACCCAAAATGGAGTACTCCGTCAATAACCGGAGGTTCATAGTAAGTAAGTAAGTAAGTAAAGTAAGTAAATAGTTTCACATATTGATTGACATAAATATAAGCAACATTATATAATTATATACACATAAAACAATCAATATCCAGCCATAAACACGACTTATGAGACACTATAAACTTGAAATTCTATACCTATTTAAAACAGAACGTTGGTATTTTTTCATGCAATACATAAATAATTAGCTAATATGTACGTGCGCTAAAGGCCAAAGACGTGATTAAAAGAAAGATAAGATGCTCAGTTGGTACTTTTTCCACCTGGGATCATTTTCTTTACTCAGCTAAAGCCAATGAGAATAAAAGATGTGGGGAAAAAATAACGAAAAATCGATAGTAGAATATATATTTAATCTAAACATATAAAAGGTCATTATTCGTATTTTAAAGATGGACATGCGAGTAAACTAACGGTTGACAATTCAATCTTAACCTAATTTAAAAATGGTGTTAAAGTAAAGACATGTTTTACTTGTGTAAATGAATTAAACATAGACTTATAGACGTCTTATTTTAAAGTGCATTCTACATGTATTGTCCTTTAAGATGGACAGGCGAGTAAACTAAAGCTTAATAAGTCAATTTAATCCTAATTTAAAAGTTAATTATACACGTATTGTCAATTAAGATGGACAGGCGAGTAAACTAAAACTTAATAAGTCAATTTAATTCTAATTTTAAATCATTTACATGTAAAGTGTAGACATGTGTAAACGAATTCAACAAAGACTATCAAAATTAATGTTGGCGACCGTAATTGGAAACTTAGATGTATTTTGTTTTTCCCTTGTCATTGGGTTGCTGTTTCATTGATGCATACCCCAATTACCCTTTTATTCGTATGCAGAAATATTTAACGTCAACTTTCCCAATCTAACCAGGGGCGGATCCAGCCATTTTTAAATGGGGAGTTCCCAACCCAGGATAAAGGGGGGAGGGGTTCCAACGTCCCCATTCAAATGCACAGATCGTCAAAAACAAGGGGGGGGGGGGTCCAACCCCCGGACACCCCTCCTGGATCCGCCACTGGTAACTGTCCATTTACTGTGGTGTATGTGTAAACACGAAGTACCTCAGTTATCGCCCTTTCATATCCGTCGTTTAAATGTAGTCCTTAGTGTGGTAAGTGTGTCCGGAACCTCTGTTATCGTCCTTTGATATCCGTCCCCTAAATGTCGTCCTAAGTGTGGTAATTGTGTCTGGGACTTCAGTTATCGTCCTTTGATATCCGTCGTCTAAATGTAGTCCTAAGTGTGGTAAGTTTGTCCGGGACCTCAGTTATCGTACTTTGATATCCGTCGTGTAAAATGTAGTACTTAGTGTGGACAGTATACATATAAATAAGAAGATGTGGTATGAGTGCCAATGAGACAACTCTCCATCCAAGTCACAATGTGTAAAAGTAAACCATTATAGGTCAAAGTACGGCCTTCAATTCGAAGCCTTGGCTCACACCGAACAGCAATCTATAAAGGGCCTCAAAATGACTAGTGTAAAACAATTCAAACAGAAAACCAAGGATCTAATCTATATAAAAAACGAGAAACGAGAAACACTTATGGACCACACCAACAAACGACAATCACTGAACAACAGGCTCCTGACTTAGGACATGTGCATAAAAATGCAGCGGGTTAACGTTGCCACTTTTTAAGTAGCAGGCTAGGATGAAATTTGAAAAAAGGGCAGGACAGGAGTTTTGAGTAAAAAAAAAGGCAGGATGAGCAACTTGGCAAAAAAAAAAAAGGCAGGATGACAATTTATGTAAAAAAAGTCAGGATAAACTAATAAAAGAAAGGCAGGACCGAATAGAGTGAAAAATAAAAAGGCAGGACAGAGAATACAACTTAAAAAAAATGCAGGACAATATTTTCATCCTAGCCCCCCCCCCTCCCCCCCCCCATAAAAATCAAATGGTAGCTCCCTTAATGTGATACACAACACTGCACAAAAATCTTATTGAGAAAGCGCGGGTATATAGAATTTTTTTTAAATTTAAAAATAAGAAGATTTGGTATGATTGCCAATGAGACAGCTCTCCACCAGAGACCAAATGACATAGAAGTTAACAACTATAGGTCACCATACGGCCTTCAACAACGAGAAAAACCCATACCGCATAGTAAGCTATAAAAGGTCCCGAAATGATAAATGTAAAACAATTCAAACGAGAAAACAAACGGCCTGATTTATGTACAAAACAAAGAACGAAAAACAAATATTATAAACAACAAACGACAACCACTGAAATACAGGCTCCTGATCACTAGGGACAGACACATACAGAATGTGGCGGGGTCAAACCAGGTTTTTTTTGGCGCAAAACCATTTATTTTTCTAAAAAAAATGCACTACTAATTTTCAAAACTACGCGTACATACATTTAAATTGATCCTTTATACAGCATTACATTCGTTCTTTTTTTTCTAATACAAATGTACATGAACAAAAACCGTAGTGATGTTCTGAATGTGAAACACTTCTGAAGACATACTAATTTAAGTCTTGCTGATGAAAGCTTTGCTTTTAACAATAAGAATTGCTTACAATTAATAAATTATTGAATTTACGAGTCTGATTAAAAGAAAAACAACATAAAATCACTTCTTTTTAATTAAAAGCAAGCATCAATTTTTATGAATGTTGTTCTACATAAATGTTCAAATGATTTTATTTCGCATACATAACATGGCTATAAACGACATAGTTATTTGACAGTCTAATTCTATTCGTTGTCTGACTGGAGTTATCCCTCTTCCAGTATAAATTATTATATTCAACTATTATTTACAAAAAAAAAACACTATTCATTTCAAAATATAGAGATATTGGACGTCTCTGTTTGTATAATGATAAATCGTTCTATATTATATCACGGAGCAACCAAGGGCAAAGACATATATTCTATGAATTGTCAAAACCTTTCAAGATTGCCTTTTTCAATCTCAGAATGAGATCCGTTCTTGATTTATAGTTTCAACCTTGTAATCGTACCTCTGTATCCTGAAGTTTTTCGTCATGTATAAAATCTAATTATTTGTTATAATTTAATTTCCTTATCGTCATAATCATATTAACCTATGCAGTCATTTTCAAAGTTCATCTGGCCAAAAGCGCCAGGTGGTGAGCTATTGTCGCGGCATCCGTCGTCGTCGTCAGTTGTCCAGTAATATTCCATAACAGTTTACCAAATAAATTTTATGTCGTAAAACTTTCGAAAGATTAATTCAACTTTTCCATTTAGAACTCTTGGTTCAATAGCTTTCTGTAAGCAGTAACCCTATACCAAGAAAATAATGCTACTATAGTAACATAGAAATGGCAAATTAGCAATAGGAACTTTTAAATCATCTGTTTTGTCGCTAATTTCAATTTTCAACTACAGTAATTCTCACTGTCAGTTTTTATTCTTAAGAATTTTAAAGTCAAGATATGACACAGTTGTAATTTCCTTTATATCAAGGATAATGAGATAATGCATCCACCAAACATTCAATCTGTCTTAAGGTTAACAAGGAATTCGCCGTTTCAGAATCTAATGCATTCTGGGTAATATTTTCAAAAGTGTACACCAAAACGTCCTGATTGGTTAAAAACGTCCAAAACAATGGAAGTTCAACCAATGACGTGATGTTATTTTCATTTTCGGTATCCATAGTCCTTTAGATTCTGAAACGGCCAATAATAGTTGTGCGAGCGTTAGCGAGGTCAATTCAATGTTTTCATACTATTGCATGAACAGGACTAAAGACGTATATACTCTAAGTGGTATTTGAAATGTATTGAATAGATATAGGAAGATGTGGTATGATTGCCAATGAGACAACTCTCCATCCAAGTTACAATTTATAAAAGTAAACCATTATAGGTCAAGGTACGGCCTTCAACACGGAGCATTGGCTCACACCGAACAGCAAGCTATATAGGGCCCCCAAAAAAATACTAGTGTTACAGTAAAACCATTCAAACGGAAAAACCAACGGTCTAATCTATATAAAATCGAGAAACGAGAAACACGTATGAACTACATAAACAGACGACAACTACTGTAATCAGATTCCTGACTTAGGACAGGTGCAAACATTTGCAGCGGGATTAAACGTTTTAATGGTACCAAACCTTCTCCCTTTTCTGAAACAATAGCATAACATCACAACATAGAAAAACACACTATAAAATATCAATTGGAAGGCTTAACTCAATCAAAAAACGTAAATTAACACACAATGAACGAATAAATTTGACCTGTGACACCTGAATGCAAATACACAGTTAATAAAAAAATTACAAGGGATAAATAATTAAAGCCAAAAGTAAATAAACAGGTTTAAACAAAGTTAAAGTATGATATCACTGTGAAATTCCAAACAATTTTTAGAAAATCATCACTTTTCCTTATTTCAGAACGCCCCAAAATAAGTAGTGTTACATGAACTTTGAAGCGAGAGTTTGATTAATGCCAATCAAAGAGAATAATTTGGAATAATGTTTTGACGAATACTACAAAATCAGCATCACGATGTCATTTAGGTATCACATATAGTGAAGGGAGATCATGTTCCTCGGCTTTGATTGGTATTCTGAATGAGCATAATACAGAACAGTGAAGGGAGATCATGTTCCTCGGCTTAGATTGGTATTCTGAATTAGCATAATACAGAACAGTGAAGGGAC